AATAAAAGAGTGAGAAGCAGAAGAAAAAAAAGATGAGAGAAAGAGAAAGAAAAATAAAGAATGATTATTGTATCTGCGACGGAAATGAGGGAGGATTGGAGGGAAGGAGAGAAGGAGAGAGGGAGAGAGGGAGAGAGGGAAGGGAGGAGAGAGGGAGGATAGGAGGGTAGGGAGGAGAGAGAGAGAGCGCGATAGAGAAAGAGAAAGAGAGAGAGAGAGAGGGAGGGAAGGGAGGAGAGAGAGAGCGCGCGATAGAAGGAGAAAATACATAGTACCAATACTTAACAATCCCCCCGCCCCCGTGGATGCTGTTCAAGTATCTCATGGTGACAGAGCAACGTGCTAGGTGTGGGTATGGCTGCCATACCCATTTACCCTTTAGTAATACCGGCCCTGTTTCATGAGCAATATCGGCCCATTCTATAATTCACTGCTGGACTAGGGTGAAAACTTGCTTGCTTCCCGAACTTGATGGTTTATCAAATCTCTTTTTTGTTTATACATCTGATAAGCACTGCAATGTGCTCGAAACGGGATGAAAAAAGAACTTGGAAAACACACTAACTAGAAACTCGTGGCATACATTGTCAAACTAGCCCATTATCGGTTTCTTTTTTCCTTATATAAGTGTCCTAAGGCACGAGTCAACGTTGCTGAAAATTGATTCTGTATTGCAATGTCGAGATTCATGCGAGTCAACATTCAGCCGTTTTGGTTTTCTAATGCGAGAAAAATATAAGGCTTAGAATTTCGACGTCGCACCCACGGTTTGGAGCCTTATTTATAACCTACTCACTGTTCAAGGTCGTGTCAGATCATCCATTGAGATCAAGTGAGAGAGACCGAGCAAGAGAGTGAGGCGGACGAGAAAAAGAAACAGTTGATAAAGCAAGAGGAAAAAATAAAAGAATAAACGTAAGAAGGAAAGGACACTTCTAATATAATCGAAAGAGAACAGTGTATTCTTGCTGGAAGTTTCGAAGCTCAGTCATCATGGATGTTGTTGTTGATTCGGCAAAACTCTGGTTAAGCGAGTTCCTCCCCTACTGGCGAAAAGCTGAGGGGACCTTGGCAGTCGTCGGGGTTTGTTACGCCGGCTCAGTCGCTATCAGCTTGCTATGGCAGGTCACGAATGGGGTCAGAGTTCATTTCTGGTCGCGACTCTGGAAGAAAGACCTGGTAGGGAAGTACGGAAAATGGGCAGGTACGTGCCTCAAACGTTTTTTTCTTCTATTTTGGTATTTTCTCTATACTACTCTTCTTTGTCATTAATTCCTTATTTCAACTTACTTGTTCATTAAAAAGAAAGATACATTTACTTTTAAAAAATATAACAGATCCATAAAAGTAACTATACTTAAAGAAGCTTAAAGAATCGTCACCCTCCCCTTATCCCTCCGCAGTTGTCACAGGGTCGACCGACGGCATTGGGAAAAGCTACGCCAAGGAACTCGCAAGTAAAGGCATGAACATACTGCTGGTTTCCCGGACAAAGGCAAAGCTGGAGCAAGTTGCACAGGAAATAAGTAGGTTCAGAGAGAATAAAATGAAGCTAAAGAAAGAATGCAAAGTAAATGCACAAAACGCCAATAGAAATTGTACAAGTTAAAAATCTTTTGACATTTGATTTGTAGTTATGCCTCTCAGTTATTTTCAATGCTTGATTTTCATTATTACTATCATCCTTTTTTTCCTTCATGTCACTGAATATTGCTGTTCGTTTCAGCTTCAAAATATGGCGTCGAAACGGATATAGCACAGGCTGACTTCTCGGAAGGTCGATCAGTGTATGCTAACATTGCTGAGCATCTGAAGGGAAAAGATATTGGGATTCTAGGTAAGTTTCCTATGTCTAGTAGTAATTTTTTTTTCTTAACCCATTCGCGCCGGGCGTCACGTATAGGTGACGGGCCCACTTTGAGTTTACTTGTTTGATTGTTTACAAACATAGATGGCTCCACTTGCACTTGTACTGCCTGTCTCGTCTGTTTACCCTTTTCTTTAATTTACGAACTTATTTTGCGTTATCTTATTTTCCTGTTACTAATGTTTATAACATTAGAGTAATTATAATGTTTATAATAAAAATAACCATCGATATTCATAGCACTAGTAAAAATACATTTTCCCGCCAAATGAAATCCGGTAAAGCAGAGCCATCTAGTGTAGAGAAATTTAATTAAAAAATATAAAAAATGAACACAGCATTTCCCCCATTTTTTGTTCATTTTTACCCGGCGCGAATGGGTTAAATTATTCGAAAAAAATGATTTGGCAACACCCCCTAGAGTGGGACGAAGTTTTGTAGAGAAATGATAAGAATATATCTAACTACCGTTTTAATTTTCTTCGTTCAGTTCATACGTTCCCTTTACCTTTATGTCACCTATATAAGTAATGTTATATATGTTCAAATGCTCTGTGTTAGACTCCCTACCCTCTTGCAACCGTCAGATCAAGTTATCAGTAACCACAAAGATGATCAAACGTACCGCCTGATTGCGTCCTGCACAATTATCTATGCTATCACCTATGCTCATCATTATTTATTACCTATGATACTCACCCGTTCGCCTCCTTATCACCCAGTGCTCTTACTTGCCACTATCTACCTTCTCTTCTCTTTCATCAGCCATTATAACACATGTACGGTTCTTGTTTGTTTTTAGTTCACTGATGTCTATGTTTATATATAAGGTATTCGTTTCCTTTTTTTTCGTAATGAAGTATATATAAATAAAGATAATCAAAATCTAAATATCATTTTTCGTTTTGCTATGTAATA